GATCCAGTAGATGTGCTCGGAGGGGGCCTGCTGGATTGGGCCCCACGGGTGACGTCACACAAACCAGCTGGTGGGGGGAGTGGGGACGGGACTTCCCTTTGGCCAGGTGGCATGGGGGGGCCCCGGTACGAGTCCCCCACTCTGCCTGATGAGACGGGACCTGTCAGGGGCGAGCCCTAACTCCTGGGCGAGGGGCTATCCGTCCACAGTCTCTCCCAATCCGACGGTCCCACCGTAATTAGATAGCTGAAGAATTAACTAGGAAGAAGAGCTAGGACGGCTCCCTAGCCAGTGGTGAGGGCACGCACCGGAGAGGTGGCAGATCCTTACCAGGCATGGGGGGGCTGGGCCCAGGGGCGTCCTAGGTGAGTACCCGCACTACTGGACTATAGGCTATAAGGGAGGTGGGCGTTCCTCTCAACCCCCAGCTGTGCGCTTGGGGTGACTGCTCTGAGGGCCTTGAGCCGGTAGGCGGCTGCTGAGACCGACTAGATCAGGCTCCACGGGTGAGGTGGGCAGCCGAACGCCCGGCCAGGTTCCTGGATCGCTCAGGTGGGAGCTGAGGGTCTGGGTGCCCGGACTCGGAGACACCTGGGGTCCTTTTGCTGCAAAGTCGTAGGCGCGGAGCGGATTTAGGAGCCTGCGGGTTCGGCAGGATCGTGGATCGCAGCGGGATCTCAGAACGGGATGTAGCCGCCTGCGTGAAGCCCATCCCAAGTCTCTCTGGACCTCGGCCGGTTCTCCTTTGTCTGCTTTGATTGCAAGCTCTGCCGGGCGGGGACTGTCTGTACAGCACCTGGCACAGTGGGACCCTGATCCTGATGATCAGGTGCCCTTCGCCTGGGGACGGGGCTGTGAGGATAAATACAGAAAAGGTTGGAAGGAGCCCAAATGTTACGGGTGATGGGCGCCCTGGATAGATAGGTAGCCATGTGGAAGGTGCAAGGCTGGGACTCAGAGCCAGCTCCTCAAAGGGATTTGGGTTCCTAGGCGTTAGTAGCCTAGATACTTTCCCGGATTGGGGCCTCCGTCCTCTGCAGAGGTGGAGGTGAACCCAGATTTCCAGAGTCCCAGCCCTGCCCCGGCCGGCCCTGAACCCTAGGACACCGGCCAGTATCCCTAGGCGGAAGAGCTGAGCTAACACCCTCCCCTGGATAAATCAGCTACAAGCTCTGGCCTGTCTGAAGTGCTGGGTGGGGGAAGCTGAAGAGAGTGGTGGTGTGATTAATTAGGGAGGTGCTCCCTCCCCGCAGAGAGAGATGGCTCCCGCTGATAACACCTAACCTCCCTCTGACTTGCCTTTTGATCTCCCTGTTGCCTGTCACATCCCGGAGCCAACTTCACCTTGGAACTTCTTAAAGTTTTGCTGTGAATCAGGATGATTTTGGAGATTAGTGTGTTTTGCCTCAAGCAGTGGTTGTGGGGGTGGGCTGGGAGTCAGGACCACTGGCTTCTAGTCCCAGCTCTTGCAGGGGTGAGTGTGATCTAGCGGTTAGAGCATAAGACTGGGAGTCAGGACTCCCGGGTGTCTCTGCAACTCTGGGAGGGAAGTGGGGTCTAGTGGTTAGAGCAGGGGACTAGCACTCAGGAATCTGGGTTCCACTCCCTCGTTTCCTATTGATTTTCTGTGGCAGCTGATCAAGTTGCCGCTCTGTGCCTCAGTTTCCCTATCTATAAATTAGAGATCGTATTTCCCTCCCTTACTGGGGTAAGTTCAGGCTAGTTTAGGAAGGGGAGAGTTGGCTGTGAAGGCAGTGTACAGTAGTGGAATACTGGGCCAGGCCTGGGATCTGTCATTCCTTTCACTACAGCTCTGTCCTCCTGTGGTGAGGTGGGACAGCTGTTTATTAGCACTGCTCCCCAGGGTTCAGTCACCCAGCACTAAAATGCAGCCACCTCTGGGGTGGGACACAGTACTGGCGTAACAGCCCTCAGCAACGCTGCGCAGGGTTCACTCATCCAACACTGAAATGCAACTGCCTCTGGGGTGGGGTGTGGCAGTGGTTTAACACTGCACAACAAAGGGAAATTTGGGGAGGCAGGCCATGGAATTAATCTAAATAGAATTTGGCCAGGAAATCAGTGTGCTGAAGGGAACTGCCCGGTGACCCCTCTTTAAAAATGTCTCCCGTAAAATACAGCTGTCTAATGTTTGCGTCCAACTTTTCTCAGCCGATTTGGTGATGATTTCCAGGGCCTAGCGGGGGGCAGGATGGATTCTGTCAGGCAACTCTGCAAGCATCACCAGTCACCCGCCAGCAGCTGCTTCCCCAGGACCTCTTTCCTTCTGTGTTTCGCGCCTGTTACAAATGAACTTCCCCCGCCCGACCCACAACCAGGTTGTGCCAGAGGGGCTGACAGTCTGGCTAAGTGTTGATGAAAGATGGCTTGGCGGGGCACTGGGCGGGGGGGGGGAAAGGGAAACCCACTGTGCAACTTTAACCTTTCCTGCTGTCAGGCCAGGCCATGTGTGAAAATCTACGGAAACTCCAGCGGATGGAGAGGGGGTGCTGTGCCGTGCCGCAGTGAGCTCAGTAGGGGGCGCTCTCCTCTGGATCAGTACTGACCCCTTTCAGAGGAGATGGGAAACCAGCTCTGATCCCTTTTGCTCTGGAAAGACCAACACCCAGAGCCGACACGGCTGGGGTACCTGAATTTCCAGGAGGTTATTTTTATCGATATTTAGGCTCAACAGAATTCTGTTGCTAGAATCCCGACGTTTATTTTTAAGCACGTTTTGAGATTTTTATTCCATTTATATTTTCACCAGGGTGCAAAATGATGGGCGGTGTGAGGCAGGATGCTAGGGTGACCAGATGTCCCGATTTTATAGGGACAGTCCTGATTTTTGGGTCTTTTTCTTATATAGGTTCCTATTACCCCCCACCCCCGTCGTGATTTTTCACATTTGCTGTCTGGTCACCCTACATGATGCCATCATTATGTATTGACCAGAGATGTTGAGACTGAAAAAGTTAAAGCGACCTAACTGGGGCCACTGCTCCAGCCCCATTGAGACCAGCCTGATGACACATGAAGGCAGGACCCTAAGAAGTTCTCAGGCAGCATTTTTCTTACTTTGCCAGACTGTAAATTTCAATTCTCTTCTTTCCTGGGCTTGGGTGTGTAGGGTGAAACTGATGTTTGTCAGTAACACTCGAACCCTTCCAAGCCTGTTTATATTTCAGTAGCACAAAGAGATCTGTCCCAAGATCGGGTCCCCATTGTGCTGGGCTCTGCACAGACAGCCCCTGCCCCGATCCGCTTGCAGTCTAAGCAGACAAAGGGAGGCTTACGATCTCTCTTTGACGGAGGGAAAGCGGAGGACCAGAGGGATGAGGGGAAGCTGTGGCAGAGCTGGGATTTGAAGCCAGTGCCCATCCGCTGCCTAAAACACAAAGCTATTCAGAGTGTCTCCAGCCTGTCTTTACCCTTGCACAGCGCTGGAGGAAATCCAGCAAGTGCTTTGCAAACAGCACCAGTTCCCCCCACCCCTTTGCCTGCTCATCCTGCGTGTCCTGACCCCAGGAATAAATGAAACAAGCCATAAGGCAAATAACTTGGGGTCAGGTCCCTGCTGCCCCTTACTCCGAACTCAACCAGACCACCTCTGTGCTGACCCCCCCCCCTCCTCCCGGAGCTTTGATCTGTATAGGTTTGTGGGTGTCCTTCATCTCTCCGGAGTCATAACAAAGAATCCTATCTGAGATCTGCTCGGGATGCTGCCAGGAAAGACCCCGGGCTCAGCTTTCGTTTGCTTAAGTGTTTTCAATCTCCCCTGTGCGGTGGGAATGGCTGGGATGGCGTGAAGGTTAGAAACAGGCCCTGTTTACCCTCCATCCTCACCCTGGGGGCCCCGCGAACAATGAAAAGTGAAAACACCCGCCCGGCGTTATGATTGCAAAACCTCGGGACATGCCAAACCAATTAGGGCCTTTGGCTAGCTCCTTTCACATCTGCAGGGTTTCTCACGCCACTCGGGGAGCTGTGTTTCGGGGGGGGGGGGCTGCGCGGCTACGGGGCGGTGGGGGGCATTGGAAACAGGATACAGAGTCTGTCACCTTAAGGTCACCAGTTTGAATCTGAGCCGGGCTGGGTGTGAGCAAAAACGGTCGCAGATTTGTTCGGTGACTTGTGTGAAATGAGTCGGGCGGTGGGAGGGGTTGTCTCAGACGGCCCCTTCACTGGACAGGGGACCCCATGATGCTTGTGGGTCCAGATGTCATGGGGGTGGGAGGAAGGCTGGTCCAGTGGTTAGGACGCTAGCCTGAAAAGCAAGTGACAAAGGTTCCAGTCCTTGCACTACCTCAGACTTTAGACCCGCTCTGTGCCTCAGTTTCCCCATCTGCACAATGAGGATAACAGCACTGCCCCGCTCCCCGGGGTGCTGTGAGAATAGATACATCAAAGAAGGTGAGGTGCTCAGATACGTGTACAGCCCCTAGCACCGTAGGGGGCACTTTGGTAATAGCGGGAGCCTTAGATAAATGCAATTGGCTCCCCAGCCTGTTGTACCCACTGTGGCTGTGATAGAGGGACCCTTGTGGAGTGCCTGGGCACGGGAGCGTCATGGGGAGAGAATGGGCTGCATAGAAAAACAGAGCTGCTGTCTGGGAGGCTGGGCTTCGGTGGAGCAGATGCCAAGGGCACCAGGAGAACAGAGATCTTGCAGTGCCCAAGTCCAGTCCCTGCATCTAGTGCCCCTGCCGGGCTGGAAATCGAATCGGAGGCCAGAAGGGACCAACATGATCCTCTGGTCTGACCCTCCTGCGGAGCACAAGCCAGAGACCGTCCCCACAATAATGCCCAGGGCAGATCTTTGAGAATGGAGCCACCCCTTGGCCAATTGTTAAGAATTCACCATTAAACATGTCCAGTCTGGATTTGTCTAGCTGCAACTCCTAGCTGCTGGCTCATGGGAGCCCTTTCTCTGCTGGATAGAAGAGCCCGTTCATACCCCGTGTAGGGACCGTAATCAATTCACCCCTTCACCTTCTCTTTGTTACCCTAAAGAGATGGAGCTCCTTGAGTTTACCACTGGAAGGCAGGTTTTCGAATCTCTCCCGTGGCTTTTCTCTGAACCCTCCCCAATTTACCCCTCTTGAATTGTGGGCACCAGGCCTGGACACGGGCTCCTAGCAGCGGTCGCACCAGTGCCGCATACAGAGGCAAAATAACCTCTCTGCTCCAACTCAAGATTTCCCGGTTTCTGCATCCCAGGCTCACATTAGCTCTCTTGGCCCAGGGGCATGCTGGGAGCTCCTGATTAGCCACCTCGACCCCCAGATCTTTTTCAGGGTCCCTTTTCCAGGCTGTTCTTCAGCTGTGGCGAGCGAACGGCAGCATGGCCCAATGGGTAAGTCTAGCCTGCGAGTGAGGAGTCCTGAATTCCAAGCCCAGCTCCACCCCTCCCCTGACGTATGACCTTTGTCACGGCCCTGCTCTGTGCCTCAGTTTCCCTTCTCCCTCTTTGGTCTGTTCAGATGGTGAGCTCACTGGGGCAGAAACTGTCTCGCTACATGTCTGTGCAGAGCCTGGCGCAAAGGGGCTCTGATCACAGGTGTGGCTTCTCAGGACAAGACTGTACCACAAACAATAACACACTCATTGACCCAGAGCCTCTGGCAATTGCAGGATGCTGACTGGGTTGGGCTTGCTCTTAGGGGGCAGTCCCTGCTCCATGTTTCAAAGGAAGGAGATGCTGTCTTTTTTCCAGGGTCTCTGCTCACATGGTCTCCGATTTTGAGCATCAGGATAAACCACTGACTCTGAGCAAGCGTCACCCCTGGCTTACCGGCTAGGCATGGAATCCCAAATCACTACCAGACTGTATGCTCCTGCTGCCTTTAGGCGTGTCTGCATTGTGTGCTTCCAAACAATCAATCAATCAGGTGTGGCCCAGGGGCCTTTACAAACACAGTTCTTTCCCCTTCCCTCTGGCCAAGTTTTTTCCTTACAGCCCGAGCAGTGAAGCTAGAGAGGGGGAAATCTGTCAGCAATTGCACTCTGCCCTGGTGCCAAAAACAACAACCCCTGCCTGGACTCATAGCGACAATGCAAAGGTAAGGGGTGTGGAGGGGCTGCTGGGATGCGTTATAGCATGGGGTTATCATCGCTTAGCCAGCAAACACGTCCAACTTAATGGAGGGTGTTGGCCAGAGGCCCTGGTGATGGGAGCAGAACTCCAGAGCCTGCATGTGATCCTTCTGTCAGCTAGTCTTTGGGGAAACCCTGTCCGGTGACCTATATAGCCCAGCCTAGAAGCCAGAGAGAATGGCAAGGTCTGTCTGTCCCTAGCAGCCTTCTTCATATTCATCACAGCCCAGCCCTGCCTCTCTCCTATCACCAGGGCTGCTACAGGCAGCTGTAGGCTTTGATAACGTTTGATGTGTTGGCTGCATTTAGCTCAGTGGGTTTTCTAGCCCTGGAACTGAAGCTCTGGAAAAACAGGCAGCCTGCCCTGGGATGTTCGTGTATGGTTTACTGTATTCTCTGGCCAGCAAGGGTATCTGGGAGTCTCCCTTCCTCCCTGCCAGCGCAGAGAACTTGCTCCGTATCGGCAGCCCCAAGTGTTTCGGATTCATGAGTTGGGCCCCTAAAGTTGAGATTAACAAACGTTGGGTTCTTTTTATTTGCCGTCCGGTGTCCGAGCCTTGAGGGGGGCGGGGGGGGGGGCATGCTTTCCAGCTTGGCTCTTCTTTTCTTTAAATGGAAGCTGAGACTCTGCCCTAACCACGTGACTCCAGGAGCTGGGGATTAAAGGGCATCGCCAAATATGGTGGAAGCTGGCAAGCGATGGGTGGAGGAAAAAAATGCAAACCAACAGGAGCCGCTGTCCAAAGCAAAACATGCTTCTCCTCTGTCCGCTCACCCCTCCTTCCGGGGCGAACAGCTGGGCTTTGCAGTGGGACCTGAAGGTTCACAGGTGTTGTCTGTGGTGGAGCAGCAGCGGAGGTGAGCTGTAGAAAGTGCTGTAATGCTAGAAGTACCCTCCATGCTGGTAAAACGCGCAAAATGGTTCTCCAGGCCATTGAAGATCCTTGATGCCTTCTGGTGTGTGCAAGAGTTGGGGGCTTTAATGCCAGAGAGCTGGCCTAATTCTGAAAGGTGTCATTACGTTTCCCCTCCATAACTCCTCTCTGCTTTCAGTTGTATCCAAACGTCCAACTTCCTGTCCTGAGCTGTTGCCGGGCACTGTTAAACAGCTGATGTCCCCCACCCCAGAGATTGCTGCGTTTCAGTGATGAGTGAATGATCCCGGTGCCATGTTCTGTGTGGCTGTTGTATGGTTACCATGCCTGCCCCACCCCAGAGGTGGCTGCATTCCAGGGACAGGTTTGTAAATCTTTGCCTCTAGATAAATTCAGGGCCCAGTAGCTGTACAACCCAAGAGGAATTTAAAACATTCCCCTTCAGAGTCATTCTCCTGCATATCAGGTCCTGGGAGATTTTTACTTTGATCGTTAGCTGCTGCAAACATATCACACCCACAAAGGAAACATGGCCTTTGCATTTATATTTAATTTCTGTGGCATTTTATGATCTGGGATGTTTGTAGCATAGATTTTTTTCCTGTTACCATGGTGTGATAGTTAAACTGAACTAAGCAGTGGCGCTTAAAGCATCCAACCTTCCAGATGTTCGACCTTATTAGAGGAATAATGGAGAAGTGAAATAGACATTAAAACAATTGATCCCCAGAAATATTTCAGCCGTTGGAAAGGACCCACTAGCCACAACATAGTTGGAATAGTTAGTGTGTATATCTAGGGGTCAGGGGGAGTGTATGGGAAACCAGATGTGGAGAAGGAAATGTTCTGGTGATGGATGGAGGTGCTTCATGTGGGGGCATGTACCAGAGGAATGGGTTCCCGAGTCTTTCCCAGCCTGTTCAGGGGTTCAAAGCTAGCCCCAGGGCAGTGGTGATTGAAAGTTGTTTCAGAACAACTGTTCAGCTGCCAGGTTCCACCTCAGAGGTGGATGCATTGCACTGATGGAAGGGCTATCCCTCTGGGGGAAAGCCGTGGCAGTTGCTTAAGCACAGGGAGGAAGGGCGGTGTTAGACTCAACCTGGGCTTGGTTCCTGGCTCTGCCTCAGGCTCCCTGCCTGGGTAAATTACTTCATCTCTCCCCGTGCCTCAGTTTCCCATCCCAATCATGAAACTTCCTGACTTCCCAGGGAGAGAGATGGCAGCCTGACAGAGAAAGGTGCTGTGAGTGGGGGAACCCTCTCAATGCTGCAGAGACCTCCCCCAGTGCTGTCCTGGACAAGGTGGCAAACTTGGCCACTGGCAGAGGTGACCCATGGCCGGCTGCCACCGTTACCAGATGACCATTCCCCAGGTGCTGGGCGGGCACTGGTTGGGCCGGGACGCCCGGGACCTGAGCTGATCTAAAGAGCCAGGGCTTTCGACCTGTGCCGCGTGACCAACACAGCATCTCTGCCCCGAAACAGATGGGGACCCAGGAGGCACCCGCTCACCAGTGGGTTACAGCTGCATGGGACACCTTCTCCTCTAAAGCCATGTCCCCTTTGACCCTCTGAGCTTGGGGTGCTGCTGGAGGCATGACAAATAGCCCCTCTTGACAGCATCCAATTGGGTAGCTGAGCTAGAACTGCGGGGAGTTTCTTAGGTGTGACGAAGTGGGGATCATTTGTAATATTTTTACGGCGCCTGTGTGTGCCTCAGTTTCCCCTATATGTGCATGCTTACCGAGTGGGTGGACAAGGGCTGTCTGCTCTCGCGGCAGGCTAGGACACTGGTGAGAATGGCGCTTAGCTGTCCGGCGCTTATGCCCCACATCAGTGGAGCAGCTGAGAAGACCATGGCAAATCCAATCGCCCGGATGACTAGCGACCCACAACCCAGGGGGATATGGACTTTTCCTCTCCTCAGGGAGGCCGAGCAGCATTTCCCCAGCTGGAGGGCAAAGGACTGGGAGGTGAGGTGGGGGATCCGAGCTGGCTGCTGGAAGGAGTCAGGACTCTCAGCTGGAGGCCAAGCGGACGGTCAGACAGAGCTTGAACCAAGGGCTAACCACAGTGGATCACGCTTTAACCGTCTCTTCTCTGTGGTACTCTCAGGACTGCCCAGGCTGCGTTCCAGATGACTAATCAACCCTACAGTTCTGACAGCAGCTGTGCGAGCGTCGCCGCAGATGCTGAACGAGGGGCTTGAATCCCCGAAGAGCGTACGCGTCTCCGTCGGCATCTGTCTCGGTGGCCCTCGCTGACCGGAGTTCGCGGCGTGAAGCAGGGGTGCTGCTGGCCCAGAGGGCCAGTTCTAAGGAGGCGGTGAAGCCACCTGCCCTACCCTGGAGGGAATGTGAGACTCCTCGGGGATCTGGCACTGAGAGGCTCCTCCCAGAGACCGTTCCAAAGCTGGGGCCCTGTCACGGATCCGTGCTAGAAGCCTAGGATATACCCTGCGAAATCAAACCCAGGGGTCTTCTATCATGCTGCCTCTGGCTGTCACCTAGAAAGATAACGACTGCGCTAATTAGCAGCCAAAGCTTCCCACAGCACGCTGCGAGTTTGTATGTAGAAATCACCACCAGGGCCAGGAAATAAAGTTTATTCTCTTACTAACCCTCCGGTGTGTTATGCCTTCGTTACAAGCTATTGCCACCCCAGCAGTGCAGCTGTCTCTGGGGTGGAGCACGCTGGCTTGTGTTGGCGTTACTATGTGCTTTGGAACACGCAGCGCGGGAGAGAAAAAGTGAGAAAGCCCATGAAGGTAGGAGGAGCCTGGGATAGGCTTGGCTCAGGTTGTGGCTTTAAATCTTGCAGAGAAAGTACCACTGGCTCTAGTTGTAGCTCCAGCGTCGCTGCGCTTCACAATCACTAATGGATTTGACCCTCCCAGCACCCCTGGAGGGCGGGGTATGCTCTTATCCCCATTTTACAGATGGGGGACTGAGGACCAAAGAGATTAGGTGACTTTCCTAGGGACTCTGGCTAAGCTGAGAATTCAACCCAGTTCTCCTGAATCCCAGCCTCATCCCTTAGATTTCCCTTCCCATCTCTTCCCTGAAGGGGTATGAGACATTGCTCTTCCCCTCCCTGTCAGGGCCTGGGTTGGCTGAACCTACTGGCTGCGTTAGTTACTTCCCAACGAGTCTCTGAGCCAGTCTAGCTCAGGAGGGGTGGTGGGAAGGTGGTAGCAGAGGTGGTTACTTGCCCGGCTGCTCCAGGAAATGTGCAACTGGGGGGGTGTTATGTCTAGGTAACAACCCCTCCCTGGGTAAGCAGCAGGGAGCAGGACCTTCTGCCACATCCTGAGTGAGGCGATGTGCACAGCAAGTTGGGGCGGAGCCAGGAACAGATCCCACGTCTCCCAAACCCCAGTCCAGAGACTTAACCGCGGGGCTGTCCTTCCCCTTTCGCTGGTTGCGCTCACGTGATCAGATCTCGGCTGGATCCCCGCACAGCGGCCCGTCGTCGTGCAAGGAAGCAGGCTGAGCAGCCCTCGCGCCAGAGCGACCCAGAAGTGAAATTGACTAGCACCAGGAGCTGTTTTGCATAATGCCTGCTCTCAAAGATGAACTGCATTACATGGTTCCTCTGTGGTCTGTCTCCAAGGCCTTGCCAGTTCCTTGGGCATGCCCATCGTCTCTCTAAGGCCTCGTCTCTGCTAGGAAATCAGGTCGGTATAACTACATCGCTATGGGGTGAAAAAAATCCACACCCCTGCAAGACACCGGTAACTCAACCCAACCTAACCAGCAGTGTAGACAGTACTAGGTTGACGGGAGAATTCTCCTGTTGACCTAGCTGCTGCTTCCTGGGGAGGTGGAAGCCACACCCCTGTGGTGTTTTAAGTATAGCTTTAAGAAGCTGAACTGGGATGGTCTTAATACAGAACTCAGCTCCTGTTTAGCCACAGAAATAAGTGGTCCGATTTTTCAAAGAGCTCAAGGCCTCGGGCACTGAGCCTCTTTCGCAATCTGACCCACACGGTGGGGCCTGAGGTCTAGAATATCTGGCCACACATGTCTTGTTCCATAGCGATCACTACTGGTCCTGCTACAGCACCTCCTGTCTGAGGAGCCGTAGGGATGCCAGCCATCCAGGATTGTCCTGGAGTCTCCAGGAATTAAAGAGTCATCTTTAATTGAAGGTTATGTCATGTGATGAAACCTCCAGGAATACATCCAGCCAAAACTGGCAACCCTAGATCTCCCTGGGTTTTCCAAAAGGATGGGTGGGGCGGGTTTTCCCAGCGGCCCTGCCAGGAATTGGCGGGAAGTGACAACCTCTAATGGAAGGTTTAGTAGCCACGCCCTGGAGTGGAATGTAGGAATTAACAGGCCCATGTCCATTCAGCCCAGTGTCTGGTCTCTAAGGCCTTGTCTAAATGGCGGGGGAAGGACAGGGCGAAGGTATCTCGCACTGAGTTTTTTGCACACTAACTGTTGCAGCTGAGAGAACCTGCAATACTTGCGTCCGCATGGCCAGCTGTTTCCTACTTCGTTGTGTCTACACAGTGGGAACTTAGTCTGGAGTAAAGCGTTCTGGAGGGTGCTTTGCCTTGCTGCTGGGCTCTATGCATTCTGGGATGTTTCTCGCTGTGGGGTACATAGTGGAAGCAACTGGAATTCTGGGACTTAGGAGGATCAAACTCAAAAATTCCCCGATTCAGAGGGAGGCGCAAGAAACTCCTTAGCAAGCAACTACAGAATAATCTTGCCCATGGAAGAAATTTCTTCTGAAGTGGTTGGAGCTCCGACCCAAAGGATCGAGGGTGACAGGTGCTTTCACAAACATCTCAGGCTGGATTCTCACCTGGGATAAATCCACGCTGGCTGAGGATCCGGCCCAAAAGCAGCTGCGTGCCCATAGAGGACACCAGACCCTAATCTCCTGGGTTACAACTTTACGATCAAATGTTCCTCGAACACGAACTAACCAAACATATTAATTCAACTGTTAAAACCACATTCGTTCTCGCAGCCTTTGAGCGTAAACTTTATTTTTGTTATACAAGCTGCTGAAAGCCATTTGATAAAGTTACACACGGGATGGATCAAGGGTTATGGTCTCATCTGGAAGGATTTATGGCCGCCCGTAACAGAGATCTTAGACACCACTCCGTCTTAGTGGCTCCAGAAATGTAGCAACTTGGGGATTCGTTCTGTAGCTATCTGCACCAGCCTGAGACTCAGGGACTGACTCCTGGGTTCTTTCCTGGCTCTGCTAGGTCAAGTCACTTACCCTCTGTGCCTCAGTTTCCCCTTTCCTCCTTTTGTTTGTAAGCTCTTTGGGGCAGGGGTCTGAAGGAGGTGTGGCCTCTGCCTTAGCCATTCTCTGTTGCTACAAGTTGCAGGGGGAGGGTGCATGATAGGCCACACCCCTATTCCTAACCTCGGGCTGCCCAAGCTTATAACATGGCCTTCCCAGGAGCAATCTAGGGGCCATGCAAACATAGCCTGCTGGTGAGTGTGTAACAGGCCCCTCTCGGTGCTGATCCACAGAGGAGATGAGTCTGTTACTGCCCCAACTAGCTGGCTGGTTCTGGAGATCCCTGGTTCATTCCCTGATACATCTACTACGGTCTGGTGCAGGGGTCAGTCTGGCCCTGTGTGTGTCTGGGATGATGGAGCTCAGAGCTCATTCAGGCTAAAGGAAGAAAGCCTGACATCACCCGGTGTCTCTGCCTCATAAGTAAGTTAAATCACTTGGTTTTTTATGACCCTGGCAAGGCGAAGGGGAAAACTCCTGTCGCTGCCTGCACAATGTCCATGTGCTTCTGGAATCCAACCCTCTTCTGGCCTCTTCTCTCTCCGTCTGCCTGATTCCTAGAAAAGCTTCATCTAGCTCCTCCCCTGCACCCATCGCCAGCCTGTGGTGAAATGGATGTGGCCCAGGGACCAGCTGTTGACTCAAAGTCCCCCATAAGAGGAACATTTGAATCCAGGCAGAAGAAAAGGAATATGGAACATAGGGATCACCCGGCTGGATCAGACCACAGAGACCATCTGTTCTGCTGTCTTTATTCTGATACTCACCAGTACCAGCTGCTTTAGAGAACCCAGCAAACAGCAGAGATGAAATTTTCCCCCAAGAAATGTTCCTTCCTGACCCCCAGTAATTAATTATTGGCTCATGCCCTGAAGCATGAAGGTTGGACTTGATATCCCTTCCAAAAGCTGTTTTTGGGAAAGCCAAGTCCCTAAACTCCATGGTCACAAATGACTTACTATGATCACCAGGCTGTTTACTCGCAAGGCTGTGCTCTGCTGGGTCAGATGTCACCCTGTGCTAGGGGGCTGGGTTTTTATTTCCTTAGGCTAGATGGAAGGAAGGACTGGAGGGTGGCAGTGAAGTAGCCTGGAACAACTGACCCTGACGCCAGGGATGGACAAAGGGGTTTGGGTGGAATAAGCCATCCTGGTGGATTGTATTGTAGCAGTGCCTAGAAACTCCTACCCAGATTAGGGCCCAATTGTGCTAGGGGTTGTACATATACCTAATGAGAAATAGTCCCTGCCCCCAAGAGCTTATCTAAATAGAGGAAGGGTGGGTAGGGAAACTGAGTCATAGAGCGGGGAACTTGCCCAAGGTCACCCAGCAGACTGTGGCAGAACCAGGAATGGGACAAAGTGTCCTAGTTCACTGCCCAGAAGCCCAGCCTCTCCTCTGGAGGGACCCGCTCAGAGTATCCCCTGAAGACAGTTCTCCGTCCCCTTTACAGCGCCTTCTCCCCACCCCACTCCACCCCCGTGGTTGCTCCAGGCAGGTTATCCAATCTGGCCTTTCTGTTTGTGAGGGTCCCACTTAAAACAACCCAGAATCAGGTTCCTTCCTTTTCTTTCCCTACGAGGTTCTGTCTGCTACTCTCATGCCGAGATGTTCCCGGGTCACTTTGCAGGTACCTGATCCTCGACGCCTGGCCCCCATTTCCCCGAGGTCATTCCCAGGAGCCCCAAGGCTCAGGCAGATGAACAGCGCAAGGAAGCTTTCAGAGGAACTTTCGTTAGAACAGGGGCAACGACTTCCTTCCTTGTCACTGAAACGGGAAGTCATAGAAACGTCTGAAAGCTCCAGGGCATAAAAATGATAGATGGCCACAGAATGGCAGGAAGGTCATCTACATGCTCCAAAAGCAACCCCATCTTGCAATCCCCGAGCGTCTGCAAACACACTCAGGGGGCTGGATGGCTCCGAGTAATTCTGGGGATCGCCCTGTGCTGAGGACAGCTCCCCCGCAGCGTGTTGTCAGGGTCAGATTCTGTTCCCAATTCCACCTGGAGTAACACTAATCATAGCAACCGGGGCTGCAGGGTCTGGGTTTATTGAAACCAGTCTGGCCTTTTTTTTTTTAAAAACCACCAAGGCTGGTTCTTCATGGGGCCCTTGATTTCCCCCGGACCCTGGCTTGAGAACCCCTGGCTCAAGGGATTGAAGATGGCGCACCAGGATCAGCCCAAGCCAAGTTGGCAAAACTGTTGTCAGCTGGCGGACGTTCGGTGACGGTGTGTGAAAGGAAAGCGGGGGTTTCTAAGGGGTAAAACTCCTCAAGGCAAAACAAAAGGGTCTGTTCGGTGCAGTTCCTGGCCTGCTGAGTGTCGCTTCCTCGCTTTGTGCCT